CCCCCCCCCCCCCCTGTTATCTCTGATGAGCCCCTTATAATACAGTCAATCTATTCCACTCTCCCAAACTATGACAGCTCAACTATGTTATTGGGTCTGGCTCCACTGCTCACCACTTAAGCAAAATGAGAATGAATCTTCCGCTAGAACATGGAAAGATAGACCACCATAATTTTTTGTCTTCTTTGCATGTGGTGTGTACTGGAGCGAGGCCCACTCAAGTCGTATAGGGGTAGGAAAGATGGGTCCACGAAACTCTGTGCCTTGCCTCATTTCAAATGCACACTATTTCCTTCTTTCTCTTTTTTTCTTTACTCCGCCTCCCCCCCGTGCCCTTCTCCCTCCTCAAATGCATACTATTTAGAACCGGCAGATGTGGAAATGGCTCCATGAATTCTGTGCAATGTGTACTATTTGGAATTGGTCCAAGCTACGGCCTTCCCCCAAACAAAACGCACCCTCGTTACGACTGCATCCAACTGGAAACATGGCTTGTATACATTCAGAATCAGGGTGCGTGATGTTCAGAAGAAGACGCTAGTCCAATCTGCAAAAAAAAATCAGATGCACCCCCTTCAGTCAGATGATGGTTTGGATTTTTCTAGTAGTTCCTTCTCTAAATTCATGGAATTTTCTGATGATGGGACGCTGGGCCCGGTTCCTAGTTTGTGCCAAATCAAGAGGATATGGTTGTATCTGTGGGACGCTGGACCCGGTTTCCAGCAGGAGTTGCTCCCCACCAATAGATGGAGCTGTTTGTTTGTTAAAAAAAAAAAAAAAAAAGAGTCAGATGATGGCTCCGGTGCTTTAATACTTGTGTATTCTTATACGGGATTCCCAGGTCGGGTGGGGATGTGTTGTATTTGAGGGATGCCTGAAGTGGATTTAAAACTGAAAGTGTGACTGCGCCCTAGTTACCCTGCTTTTTTTTTTCTTTTTTTTTTTTTCTTTTTTTTGACTTCAAGAAGTTCAAGTCAAGGGGCACCACTAACCACCCGTACTTCCTAGAGCTATGCCCGTAAACAAGAGGACGCAACTTTAGCGAACGTACGGGCCACTATAGAACCGCCCAAATTCATCAGAGTAGAAACGTTTCTACTCCACTCTTTTGCCACGGACGATAGCTGGGCCAAGTACTGGTGGTTTAAGGAGTGCATCTTGACGTCCATTCCATATTCCCCATAATACTGCCTTTCATTCCATCTAATACCAGGTCTCAGTGATATTACTTAGAAGTCGATTGAATACAAACAACTTTCAGTCCAGATACAGCAATAAATACCAGGCGTTCTATTCGTGTGAAGAGGGTAGTATACAATAGGCCAGACCAGCAAGCCCATGCAGAACAGATAAGATGGATTGAGGTTCTTCCATGGGCTTGAACCCGCCCCCCCTGTTTATGTGAGTTGAGGATCGTGCGAGGGCAAAAATGGCAAGCCCATGCAAGTACCCCAATCCAACCCTCTGCTAGAAACAGCGGACCTCATCATCATAACCAATCGACTGAAAGTCAAATATATGAGGGATGGTGGATACTACCCCTTTATAAGGAGCTTACGCCTGATTGCAAGCGAAGCCTCAACGACATATGATGTCCCCCGTATTCAGTAACGAGTTCGACCACACGGTGAGTGGCTATCTTCCTCCGTTTACTCAGTTTTCGTGCCAGCTTCAGATCATCTCTCTCTCTCTCTCTCTCTCTCTCTCTCTCTCTCTCTCTATCTATCTATCTATCTATCTATCTATCTATCT